TGAACCCCAAGAGGCCCACACCAAGACACATCATCATCAAAATGCAAAAGGTTCAAGACAAAGAGAGAATCTTAAAAGCAGCAAGAGAAAGGCAGCTAGTTACCTACAAGGGAGTTCCCATTAGGCTGTCAACTGATTTCTCAAAAGAAACTTTGCAGGCCAGAAGGGAGTGGCAAGAAATATTCAGAGTGATGAAAACCAAGAACCTACAACCAAAATTACTCTATCCTGCAAAGCTGTCATTTAGAATCGATGGACATATAAAAACTTTCCCAGACAAGAAAAAGTTAAAGGAGTTCATCACTACCAAACCGTTATTATATGAAATGATGAAGGGTCTTTTTGAAGAAAAAGATAAAATGTATGAACAAACAAAATGGCAATGAATACATATCTATCAACAATGGAATCTACAAACAAAATGAACAGGAAGAACAGAAACATTCTCATAGATACAGAGAACATTTTGTTGGTTGCCAGTTGGGAAGGGGGTTGGGGGAATGGGTGAAAAAGGTGAAGGGATTAAGAAGCACAAATTCATTGCTAGACTGACAAACCTCAAAGGGAAAGAGGTTGGGGTGGGGGGTGGGAAGAAATAAACCAAAGAACTTATATGCATAACCAATGGACACAGACAATAGTGTGGGAAAAGGTGGGAGGGGGGCAGGAGTGGGGAGGAGGGGGTCAATGGGGGAAAAATGTGGAACATCTGTAATACATTTTACATCCAACAATAAAGATTAGAGCCCTGGCTGGTTTGGCTCAGCGGTTAGAGCGTCGGCCTGCGGTCTGGAGAGACCCGGGTTCGGTTCCCGCTAAGGGCACGTACCTCGGTTGCAGTTTGTCCCCGGCCCTGGTTGGTCGTGTGGGTGGCAGCCACTCGATGTGTCCCTTCACATCGATGTTTCTCTCTCTCTCTCTGTTCCTCTCTCTCTCCCTCCCACTCTACCTGAACAAAAAATGGAAAAATGTCCTCGGGTGAGGATTAAAAAAAAAAAAAAAAAAGATTTGAAAAAAAAAAAAAAAAATATATATATAAAACCCTGGCTGGTTTGGCTCAGTGGTTGGAGCGTCAGCCTGTGGTCCAGAGAGACCCAGGTTCGGTTCCCCCTAAGGGCACGTACCTCGGTTGCAGTTTGTCCCCAGCCCTGGTTGGGTTGTGCGGGTGGCAACCACTCGATGTGTCCCTTTTTCGTCGATGTTTCTCTCTCTCTCTCTCTCTCTCTCCCTCCTTCCCTCCCTCCCTCCCACTCTATCTGAACGAAAAATGGAAAAAATGTCCTCGGGTGAGGATAAAAAAAAAAAAGATAAAAAAATATAAACAATAAAATGGCAATAAATACATATCTACAATGGAATCTACAAACAAAATGAGCAAGCAGAACAGAAACAGACTCAGATTCAGAGAACTTTTTGTGGGTTGCCAGATGGGAGGGGAGTTGGGTGCAAAAGATGAAGGGATCGGGAAGTACAAATCGGCTGTTAGACTGAGGAACCCCGAAGGGAAGGGGGAGGTGGGGCGGGAAGAGAGAAACCAAAGACCTTCTGTGTGTATGTGCATGACCGACAGACACAGACAACAGTGTGGGGAGGCAGGAGGGGGCGGGATTGGAGAGGAGGGGGTCAAGGGAGGGGGGAAAGAGGGACATCTGTACTACATTCAACAATAAAGGTAAGTTTAAAAAAAGTAAAAAATAAAAAAAATAAGACCTTTCAGCCCTGGCCGGTTTGAACAATGGTTAGAGCGGCGTCAACCTGAAGACTAGAGTCTCAGTTCAATTCTGGTCAAGGGTACTTATTTGGGTTGTGGTTTGATCCCCGGTCCTGGTTGGGGTTGTGCAGGAGGCAACCAATTGATGTGTCTCTTTCACATCAATGTTTCTCTCTCTGTCCCTCCTTCCCACTCTATTTGAAAATCAACAGAAAAATACCCTCGAGTGAGGATTAAAAAATAAAAAAAAGGTCTTTCAAAGTGAGAGACAACAAGCCTTTATTTGAAATCAATAAGAATAGCTATTTAAGAATCATTCATTCAGGCAGAAGCCAAAATTGTGTTCCGATGAGGAGACAAAAGCAAGGGGTATTTATGAGAAGGGGAAGGGGACAGTTATATCCAGAGTAGAAAGGTATTGCTGTAGGTGCAGATAAGCTGACATAGTGATGTTAATAAAAATTGTTTTGGCCCTGGCCAGTTTAGCTCAGTGGTTAGAGCGTCGGCCTGGGGAATGCAGGGTCGTGGGTTTGATTCCCAGTCAAGGGCACAGGTTTGATCCCTGGCCCCAGCTGGGGTCCTGTGGGAGGCGACCAATAGTTCCTCTTTTGCTCCCTCTCCCTCTCTCCCTGACACTCTGTCTAGAAATCAATGGAAAAATATCCTCTGCAGAGGATAAAAAACGTGTTTTTTAAGTTTCAGTTATCTCAGGTAGCCATGTCTGCTTTCTTGTATCTTTGCAAACAGTTATTTGGGACACAGTGTTGCTCTAGGCCCAGTCCAAAGGTTATTTTTTGCCATTTTAAAATTCCAAAGATTTGAGGCCTAAGTAACCAAGGCAGTTAGTTCCTCTGGGATGGCAGCTCTGGTTCCATTTTATTATTATTAAAAATATTTTTTTTTCCTTTTATTGATTTTTAGAGAGAGAGGAAAGGAGAGGGAGAGAGAGAAACAATAATGAGAGAGAACATCGACTGGCTGCCTCCTGCATGCCCCCCACTGGGGATCCGGCCCACAACCTGGGCATGTGCCCTGACTGGGAATTGAACCGGCAACCTCTTGGTGCAGGGTCGACGCTTAACCACTGAGCAACACCAGAAGGACTCTGGTTCAATTTTATTTATTTTATCCTGACCTGAGGACATCTTTTCCATTTTTTGTTCAGATGGGGGGGGCGGGGAGAGGAGAGAGAGAGGGAGAGAAACATTGACGTGAAAGGGACACATTGATTGGTTGCCACCTGCACGACCAACCAGGGCCGGGGACAAACTGTAATCAAGGCAAGTGCCCTTAGCGGGAATCGAACCCGGGTCTCTCTGGACCGCAGGCCGACGCTCTAACCGCTGAGCCAAACTGGCCAGGTCTTTGGTTCAATTTTAAAGTGCCTCCATTTGTGTTGTTGTTAAATTATTGAAACTGTAGAAAACATGCAAAATATGTAGCATGCCCAGGAATAAGGACTAGATGGCACAGGCAAATTTAAAACACACCGCCCCTGTCCTGGCCGGTTTGGCTCAGCATTAGAGTGTCGGCCCACAGACCAATGAGACGTGGGTTTGATTCCAGTCAAGGGCATGTACCTCGGTTGTGGTTTATCCCCGGCTCTGGTCAGGGTCGTGCAGGAGGCAACCAGTCGATGTGTCCTTCTCATGTCAATGTTTCTCTCTCTCTCCCTCTCCCTCCTACTCTATCTGAATAATAATAGAAAAATATCGAGTGAGGATTAAAAAAATATATATATATATATTTTTAAATAATTTATAAAAATATATATATATTTTTAAATAATTTATATATATATATAAATAGAAACACAATACCTCATTCAGAAAGTGAAAATACAGGTCACTTTCTTTTTTAAATGTTTTTTCTTTATTGATTTTAGAGAGAGGAAAGGAGAGAGAAACATAAATGAGAGAACATCGATTAGCCGCCTCCTGCACGCCCCCCACTGGGGATTGGGCCCACAACCTGGGCATGTGCTCTGACCAGGAATTGAACCAGCGGCCTCTTGGTGCTTGGGTCGATGCTCAACCACTGAGCCACACTGGCTGGGCAACAGGTCACTTTTATCTTGGATTTCTTTCAGTCTACAGGTGACCCTCAACAGTATGGGTTTGAACTGTGCAGGTCCACCTACGTGCGGACTATTTTCACCTGACCCTCTCAGCTCCAACCTGCACTGTTCAAGAGTCAACTGGCGGTTGACAACTGGAGGGACAACTGGAATTAGACTCCGATTTCTGCTTGTGTGGGCCATTGGTGCCCCCTTACCGCATTGTTCAAAGTTCAGCTGTACTTTTTTCAAACATACAAAAAATGAAAAAAGAATCATTCAGTAAAAAGTTGCAAACAACAGGATAGACCTGCATTTTTTGTCTGTTTTTTATTCCTCAGCCGAGGATATTCTTCCATTTATCACCAGCTAGAGTAGGATGGAGGGAGGGAGGGAGAGAGAGAAACATCAATGTGATAGAGCCACATCAACTGGCTGCCTCCTGCGTGATTGGACCAGGGCCAGGGACAAACTGCAACCGAGGTGTGTGCCCTTGACCAGAATAGAACCCGTGACTCATTGATCCAAGAGCAGATGCTCTAACCGCTGAGCCAAACTGGCTGGGGCAGATAGACCTGTGTTCTACTAAAGTTTTGAGCTCAGTTTGAGCTGGAGTGTGCTGTGGTCCACCTGTGCCCAGAATGGCCTCCAGGACTTGGGGTCGATTCCTGCAGGTGGGAGCCTGGCACCCAACAGGAGGTGCTGTGATGGGGTGGGCCTGCCCCTGGCTGGGGGCAGTGGGCAGAGGGAGGTGGCCCTCTGGTGGTATGGCAGGTCCCAAGGCTGTGCTCCTCTGCCCAGGCGCTCTGCTCTGTTCTCCAGCCCTGTCTCCAGGTCTCAAGAGGGCCAGGTTTCTCCATTTGTACCCAACCTTCAGGGAGATGGGGGCAGAGCTTCTGCAAGTTGCTCTCCAGGGGGATCTTCTGCAGCGGCCTGGAAGGCACACAAGCAGAGCTGGCATAGTAGATCACCCATTTTCCTCCCGGGTAGGGGCAGGGAGCGGAGACAAAGCCTCCTTCCAGAGCAGGGCTGCTAGGTTGGGATCAAATCTTGCCACGATCTCTCCGTTGAGTGGGGTTTAGATCCAATCACCCTGGGAATCTGGGGAACCTGTCTGCAGCCTGTGATTTCGTGGGAGCGGGGGCCTGTCTGATTCCATGTGAGGGAACAAAACCACAAGGAGAGCAGTGGACAAACATTTATTTACAAAAAGTCCAAGGTACATATGATACAGGCTTTTTACACACAGTAGTTATAACAATTATTTTATGTATTTTTTACTACCAGAAAGTAAAGAAAAAAATTTAGTAATTATTTTTGCTATTTTTATACAAAGTGACAGGTCATGCACCTCTTTTAAAATTTTAAAATCTTTTGCTAAGTGCAAATACTAGGTTCCTCTCCAGTTTAAGGCAAGTGGAACGGGACTGCTGCAGGCAGTCTCACGCTCCGGAGCGAGCACTCGGCACAGAGAGGGGAAGGTGCCAGGCGCCTCTGGGCGTCCCGCTTTGTCCCCCAGAAAGGGGCTGATCTCTGCAGGTTTCTGGCTGTTTGCAGCTTGCAGCCACTTGCTGGCTTGCCAGATGATTGTGGCCCCATCTCTCCAAATCCCATCACTAGTATAAACTGCTTCTTGAAGAGCCCAGAATCCAGGTCCTGCCTCTGGGACACTGAGGCACCTAGAGGGTCATGACTCACGGCAGTGACCGTCTTCCTCACCGGTGAGTGCCCCCATCTGCCGAGCAGAACATTAGAACCAGGTACTGGCAGGGTGCCCTCCTGAGCAGCTGTGTGGGCCTAGAAATAGCCAAAATTCATCTCAAAGGACAGGTCCTTGGTTTGGCCTTGGGGGACCATTATTCCAGTCCTTTGCACGCCAGGTCCTAGAGGCTGTGCTAATGACAGTGACAGGAGCACGCCACCTTCCTCAGCTCTCCATGGAGCTGCACACCCTGGGCGTGGGGCAGAGGTGGAATGAATCTGCTCAGGAGGCCACGGTGAGCACTGTCACTCGTGGGGCAGGACAGTGAGTGGGGTCACTCTCCCCATTTGGTGGGATATCTGTCTGATGGGGGCTCACTGCTCTCAGAGACGCTCCTTGGGGAGCACCGGGCACATGCTTTCAAGGCACCTGTCACTGCCACTCAGGCTGGCAACCGCTCCCCCAAGAAGTTCTGGGAAGTGGAGATTCGGTACAGGCCTGTGCTATGGGCCCCATCTCATGCCCAGTGACCGGCTGCCTGCAAAGCCCTCCGCCAGAGGAAAGGCAGCAAGGGGCAGCTTAGCAGATTCACTCCATTTTAATTTTTGAAATACATCTGAGAAGCTGCTGGCAGCAGGTGACCACAGTGATGCTCCTGTCCCGACAACAGGACAGCAGCGAGTAGACCTGGGCAGGGCAGTCTTCTGGCTGCAGGAGAGCAGAACAAGCTCAGGGAGGGGTCACTGGCTCACCCTCCTCTCTGAGGCCTATGGCGCGCTCTGAACTCCTGCGAACCCCACAGACTCAGAGATACAGCAGCAGAAACAGAGGCCAACACAGGGAGGCAGGCAGGCAGGCAGGCTCAGTCTCCACTGAGGCCTCTGCTCTGCACACACGCTGGGGTGTGACATGCCACAAAGCGAATGACGAATGACGGGGGTAGGGCAAAGCCTCAGATGTGGCTCAAACCCCAGGCTGGGACTGGACAGGAAAAGGGAGTGAGGGCATGGCAGAGACCACAGCGGACTCAGGAGCCCCACCCAACCTCAGGAAGGCAGCTCCAGGCCTGCAGAGCGCCTGGTGGGGCAGCGTACTGGGCAGGTGCTTAGCACAGTCTGAGTCACCTGTCCCCCTGGGGACACCCACTGCCCACCAAATCTTAGGGGAGCCTAGTTGGTGACAGAGAAGGCTCCCCAGTAATTGCTGCCTGGGAAAGCCACTAGACCTGTGACAGCTGCCTCAAAAGGACCTTTTATTTGGTTTCAGGACCATCTGGACTGCACAGGCTGCCTGATTTGGGAGAACATGTGACTTTCCAGAGACTGAGGGAGAGTCTAGTGGGACACAGAAAATTAAATTCAAAGTGAGTAAACAGCAAACATTTTAGATAAATTACAAAACAGAGCCCAAAGCACAAGATGGTCATCTGAGTGGGCCAAGAGGGCCAGCTCACCCTGAACTGTCACCAGGCTGGCGTCCTGTGGCTCTGGACATGGGGGACAGTCTGTCGCTTCCCCGCCGTGTGTGGTGCTCTTGGAGCTGTGGCCACCACCTGCCCTCCTCACTTGGACCAGCCAGCTCGAGGCAGCAGGGAACCTCAGCTGCAGGCCCTGGCCTTGGGAACATGGCTCACACCTCTCTTCAACGGCACTACTTGTCACTTCAGCTTTATTATGAACCAGACAGTGCTGTGGTAGGGAAGGCCTATGTGGTTTTACTGAGACTTCTGTTGTCTAGTGGGCGAGGCAATGGAGGCAAACATTTCCCTTGTCTCCTTCTGCAGGGAGGTGGGTAACAGCAGAGATGACTGCCTTGTGGCCAGGGCCACTGCACTGGCTGCTAGGATGGCAGAACTCTTTGGAAGAGGGTGTTCCTGCCCCCTTATCTCTGGCCAGCAAGAACTAGCTTGCCAGGCACTCTTCAAGGGGAAGTGGCCCTTCCCGGGAAGGGGTGGGAAGACCAATCTATGCTTTTAAGAGTCAAGCCCATCATCCCTATCTGGAAAGCACGGGCAGAGCCACTGGCTTTGGGGGTAAACAGGGGAATCTATTCAACCCCTGCCTGCACAGTGGGGCTCCTAGAAGGGGCAGGGCTCAGGTGTCAGAAGCGATGGCGCGGCTGGGGACCAAAGTGCATGGGCAAATTGTGCTCCAGGGGCAGGTGGACGGGGGCAAACTCGTAGTTGACCCGCACATTAGGCAGAGGAGGCACATAGGGTGCCGGGATGGGACCCATGTTGAGGGGGAAGTTGTTGAACATGGGTCGGACAGGAGGCAGGGGGAAGGGCGGGTGCACAAAGGCATAGGGGGGGATTGGCGGCTGGTGCAGGTTCTGCGGGACGGGTCTGGGCAGGGCTTCGATTCTCTGGACTTTCTCTGGAGGCTTCTCCAAGGGGGGCCCGATGCGTTTGAAGGTGTTCTCTGAAAAGGAGAGAGGATTTTGTAGAGAAAACTGTTAAAGTCAACTGTGCCTGGATCTGGCTTGGGACCTGGCGTATATATCCTGACCCTGGTCCCCCCTGCCCTGAACTGGGGGTTGAGAGCCTGGAGAAGAAGGCGAGGCCAGAGACCTGTGACCTTTAGCATCCTTCTTACCTGGGCACAAAGGAGGGCTGGCCAGGCCATAATGAAGCTGATTAAAGTATAAAACACAGCAGACACGTGGCCCCCCCCACCCCCGCCAGCTGTCACGAAGGAAAAAAACCTTCTTCCATCCGAGTGCTACAGCCACAGCAATCACCTTGGAAGGCGAGGGACTGATCAGTTGGGAGCAGGCTGAGCTCCTGAGACTCCCCTTTAGAGCCAGAGCCTGAAGGGCCACTCACAGGAATGCCATTTCATTCCTTGTAACCTCAGGATGGGCCTACTGTCTTCTTAGTCTGGTTTGGCTGCTACTTGCTTCCTAAGCTGAAACCTACCCTTGGCACCGTCTTGCCATCAGAGAGATTCTGAAACTGTACCAAAGCTTTCATGATTTTTCCCACAGGGAGCAGGACATAGGGCTGAAGCCTCTCGATAGGCACTGAGGGCCTGCACTCCCTGGGAGGTCCCTGGCTGGGAAGAGTGCCAGGGTCCCCAGGGAGGACCAGCAAGCAGGGAGCAGGCTGGGCGCAGGGCCTGTGTGTGTGGGGCAGCACTTGCCTCCATTCTTTCTCTTCTGCTCCTCTTCGGCTTCCTTCTGGATTTCCTCAATTAGCTTCTCGTCATCTTCCTAGAAGAAGAACATGATGATAAGGGGGCTCTCACCCAGCTGCATGTACTGTGGAGACCCCACTGGGATACCGGGGGCCCCACTGGGATACCAGCAATGGGGTGAAGTCAGAAATCTGCTGCTGACCAGCGGGGTCTTGGGCCTGCATGTTACTCATTCCCAAGTCCCTGAGAATCTTCTTCCTTCCCCACTGCAGGGGCCCAGGAGGAAGCCATCTGGAAGGCTGGGGTAAAGGCGTGAAGGAGCGAAGGAGCAGGATCTGTGCCTGGCAGGCAGCCCTCTGGGGCTGGGCTGAGCCTGCTGTTCACTCAGCTGGAGGGTGAGCAGAGGCAGAACCTCTCTCGTGCAGTTCTGAGGCTTTGGGAAGTTGGTAAGTCTGGAGCAGGCAGGTCTTGATGGACCCTGAGCTTATAGACTCGAAGCCCAGCAGTCTTCCTGACTTCCATTCAGGCCCGCTGAGCCCCGAGTTGGCCTTTAGCTCCTTGGCGGATGGTGGGCTTTAGAAGCAGCAGCACCCTGCCAGAGGAACGGTGGCCTGGGCCAGGTCTCGGGACAGGAGGAAGGGCACAGCAGTTTCAGAACAGACCTTGCCACTTCCCCTTTCCAAACTCGACACCTGGTGGGCCTGCAATGCTAACTGGTATTTCAAACTTGGATTATCCTGGGGACAGGAACCAAAGAGGGGCTCTGGGCACCAGGAAAGCTCTGGGGGTCACGCGGGGCAAACCGGGAACCAGTCTGTGCAGTTCCCACATCTTCACCTGACCTGGGCACCGTGGTGGCAGCACAGGGCTGCTGGCCCAGACAGACCACCCCAACTATGCCTGCCTTGTGTTATGTGCTAAGTTCACCCACTGCTCAGCAGCCTAGTAGAGGCTTTTCAATGATCTTGAGTCTGCAGAGACATGCCCTGGATTGAAACCCTCCAAGATGCTCGTCCTTGCTGGCTAATAGCAGGCTGCTGCCGCGAGCAGATGACGTGGAGCAGTGGCAGTAAGGCCCTGCCGTCAGGGTGAGGCTCAGTGCGGAGCAGAACAGGACATCGCAGCTCAAACCTGACTGCGTCAGCTGCACCGGTTCAAACAGTGACAGGCAGGCCTGGTCTGTGGTTTGTCGTCTTCCAGACATTTCTCTAGGAGTTAGAACAGCCAAGCTAAAAGAAGTATGGGGAAGAGCAGTGGTGTCCAACATGGGGGCAGGAGGGCACAAGCAAATTTCAGTACTCCAAGAGCCTGCTGGAAACCTGTTTCCCCAGACCAGGCGCAAGAGCCTGTGTGCACGGCTGTGTGTCCCGGGTGGAACACTATCAGTGGTTAAGTCTGGATTTTTCATGCTGACCTGAGGCCCTGACTGGCTGCTGACACCCATGGAACTTCTCAGATGTGAATGGAGCCACAGAACAGAGCACATGAGCTGGAAAGGACCCCTGGAAATCCCTGGACCAGAGGAGAGTGTGGCTGCCCCACTGTGGAGCTGAGCAATGAACAGTTTGCAGATTTACTTAGCATATTATTAAGGTCGCAGCCAAGATAGCAATGTGTGATTGCACCATATAGCTGTGAGCCCTCACTGATTCTGGGGTCACGATTTCATTCAATTAGCACGTGTCAGATACCTAATCTATGCCAGACACTGTTCTAAGTTTACTGGTTAAACTTCTGATGAACAATGAAACTGATGGAATGAGTAAGTAGCTACATAATATTTTCCTTTGTTTGGTAGATAAAAATTTCAGGACAGAGTTCCTGGACACTGGGCTCTGCAGGCCCCATAAACTTTGCTTAATTCTTCAGGCCTCAGATACCAAATGATGGTCTAGACTCAATGGTCTCAAGGGCTCTTCCCAACTATGACATTTGGAAATTCTTATCATACACCCAGTCTTTTCCAGCCTCACCTGACCAGGTGTTTTGAGCAAGGCAAGGGAAAGAGGAGAGGTGATAAAGGCTAAGATTCCATCAAGCATTTCAGAAGATGCCAAGTACTTGCACACATCAGAGAATCATATCCAGGAGGAATTGTGGTGGGGGTCTTCCCACCCCCAGGTAATGCATAAAAATGCTACAAAATCCAAGACATGATCATCCAGCCTCTTTGCAAACACTCCACAGGAAGAACTCACTGCTCTACAATGTACTCAGCAAGTCAATCAACACAAAGGACTCCAGTAACTCAGGGTTTGGTGGACAGTCTGAAGGTCTCCATGTGAATGTCAAGATAAATTCTACCAATTGCTCAGATTAGGAGCTGGCAAACCTCTGTATTTTGGTGCCAGCAGCATGCCTAGGAAAAAAAGATAAAACAAAACAAAACAAAATCGAAAGGGAAAGTGGTCAAGACGAAAGAAAGTGGGAGCGCAGTGGCCTACCTCTCTCAGCAGCGACCTGGGGCAAGTTCCTGAACACATGCGTCTCACACCTCATGCGTAAAACAGGCCGTTGGAAGGGCTGAGCTCACGGGTGGAAAGGTCTCAGCACAAAGTAAGCACTCATCATTATTAAAGGTAGGAAAGTCTGACAAATGGTAGGACAGAGTTCAGAAAGATGAGAAGTTTCAAGAAAAAGTGGTACAGATTGGGAGATGCCCCCAACATTTCTCTCAGTGGCTTCTTTATGGCATAAGAGACAGATTTCCTGAATATGGTCATTTACGGATGGTAACTATTAGCACTACAGCACCTTCACTACCACCTGTTTCTCTCACATCACCTACATGTGCTTGTGCCCATCAGTCTCTCGAGGAAGCTCAAGGCCTCTGATGGCACAGAGGTATCTTAGAAATCTCCCATCCCAACCTCCTCACAGCACAGAAACAGGTGCCAGTGAAAGTGAGTTGTTCACGTCACGGCTGGAGGACGAGGCAAATGCTTTACATCGTTCCGCAGTGTCATTCAAACAGCTTTCCCCGAGAAACCTGCTGAGAAGTCCATGGTTTCCTTGTCCCCATTGCTGGTCTGATGGGAAATCTGGAGGGTGTGTGCACCGCTTCTTTAGAGTCAGTACTTATCGAGCCCTGGTCAGTGTGGCTCAGTTGGATAAGTGCTGTACTGTGCACCGAAAGGCTGTTGGTTTAACTCCCAGGGCACGTGCCCAGGTTGTGGGTTTTATCCCTAGTACAGGAGGCAACTTTCTCTCTCACATAGATGTTACTCTCTCCCCCCGTTCCCTTCCTCTCTCTTAAAAAAAAAATTCATAAAAAAAAAAAAAAGAGTCAGTAGTGAGTATCCAGTACGCATCAGGCCCTGTGCGGGGCGCACAGCATGAGGCAGACCTGCAGACCTGGGCCCTCCCCTTGTGCTGGGATCAGTTTTAGCTGGCATTCTCCATATTTCTGTCAGGATAAACCAAGAATGAGAGGTAAGAGAGGTTTCTCTTTTGGGTAGAAGTTTCCAGGTCCCCTATCGAACCGCTGAGAGGGAGGGCGGGCAGGGCACTGGCCTGCTACCTGCGCCGTTTCCTGTGACAGACCCAAATGCTCCAGGTGGAGGCTCAGCCCTGAATAAACGCAGTGTGAGAGTCCCCTTAGGCGGTCCGAGGCTCTGCACAGGAAATGTGAGTGGAGCTTCCTGATACGGATCTGCAGCTTCTGGAGGACAGAGGGCCAGGTGCACCCGCTGGCAGAAATGCCTTCGCTGCCACTGAGACTTCCTGGAGGAGGGGGAAGGAGCCTGCGAGCCCTGAGTTCTTCACCTTTTGAAGAAAGCCACCTGGAGCTTCTTCCCTTTCTTCCTTTGCTCTGATCACTCCTGATCTGATGAGTGGACTCAAGACCATTTGTCCTTAAGCCCTGTCCTCCCCCCTGGTAGGCAGTGCCCACAGAGTCTGAATTCAGTCTGTATTTCAACAGAAAATGTCAGCGCTCAACTATTTTGAGCAGTGATTGTTAGCATAAATCATGAGTAAATTGTCAATTACACCTAGAATATGGGTCAGGAGTTTTAGATTTCAACTTTCTCCAACTGGTTGGAGTCACAGGACACTGTGTTTAAAAACTAAGAACTAAAACACTGCCTAATATATATTTTTAAAATTATATTTTCAACCAAATATGTTAGAATATAAAGGGAAGATTTCTTACTTCATCTGGAGTGTAAGTTCCTTCCACAAGCAGTGTCCCTTAAGTATTTTAAATTTCTCAAGTAGGACTGGCTGGTGTGGCTCAGTGGTTGAGTGTCGACCCATGCACCAAAATGTCACCGGTTCAATTCCTGGTCAGGGCACACGCCCAGGTTGTAGGCCCAATCCCCAGTGGGGGGCAGGTGGGAGGCAGCCAATTGATGTTCTTTCTCATTGATGTTTCTCTCTCCCTCTTCCTTCCTCTCTAAAATCAATAAAAAATAAATAAATTCCTCAAGTAAAGAGTGAAGGCAGACTAAACTGTACACTTCATATAATGTTTTTTGGGAGGTTAATCCTCACTTGATTATTTTTCCATTGATCTTTTTAGATAGAGTGGTGGGGGGAGACCTTGATGTGAGAGAGACACATCAATTGGTTTCCTTCTGCATGACCCCGACCAGGGCCCAGGATCGAACCTGCAACTCAGCTATGTGCCTCTGACTGGGAATCTAACCCTCAACCCTTTGGTCTGTAGGCAATGCTTTGACTGCTGAGCCAAACAGGCCAGGACTGAACTGTACACTTTATTTATTTATTTATTTAATCCTCATCCGAGAACATTTTTCCATTTTTTGTTCAGATAGAGTGGGAGGGAAAGAGAGGAAGAGAGAGAGAGAGAGAGAAACATTGACATGAAAGGGACATATCGAGTGGCTGCCACCGGCATGACCAACCAGGGCCAGGGACAAACTGCAACCGAGGTATGCGCCCTTAGCGGGAACCGAACCCAGGTCTCTCTGGACCGTAGGTCGACTCTCTAACCGCTGAGCCAAACCGGCCTGGGCTGAATTGTACACTTTAAAAATGGCAAGTTTTGCCCTGCCGGTATGGCTCAGTGGTTGAGTGTAGATCCATGCACCAAGAGGTCGCTGATTTGATTCC